GTGCAGGATGAGCCAGCTGTGGTTGTGCTTCTGGAGCTCCTCTAGGGTGTAGTGCGTCACGGGCTTCTGCAACACCTCGGCCATCTCAGAACCGCCAGCCCACCGCTCCGCACACTCCGGCGTCCCGCATGAACAGAGCATACTGGTGATTTTTAAAAGCTACATAGGTAATTCTGATGTACCACTAGGAAGGGGAAGCTAGCTAAACTGAAATAACATACAGTCCAAATTCCCTAGGATGGCATAACTGAAAAGCCAAACTCATTGTCATCGAGTCGGCTGATTCAGAGCGTCTCCCCCGTGGGTTCCCGGCATTGTCACTGTTTGTGGAAAGCTCTGTCTTTCTTCTGCGGAGCTGCCGGGGGGTTGGAACTGAAGCCTATGCGGATTTCAGCTCAACCCATGGCTTACTTTTCTCACGTGCAACCACTCTAAAAGTTTGTTGTGATGACTCAAGTCCTTGGGCCGTGAAAATGGCTGGTGTACCTGGCTCCAACCAACAGGTTGGAGGTGCAAGTCCACCCACAGGCACTTCAGAATAAAGGCCTGGGTTCTATTTCAAAAAAGCCCCCAGCCAGTGAAAACCCCATGGAGTTCAGTTCTCCTGAGACCCATGGGCTTGCCAGGAGTCTGAATTGCCCCTGTGACAGCTGTTTTTTTTTCCTGGATAGGATTGAAAAAGAACATGCAGAAAAAGTAAGCACTTGATTTAGTTTGCACTTGATCGATGTTGTTGGTATTGTCATGATTTCCACCATTACTTTTCAGGCTTCGCTTTTCATATGGATTTCATGTGTACAGAATTACTTGCTGATCCCTGACCAGCACAGGGGTCATGTGCCAACCATCCTGTCTGTGGTTGTCTCTCCAGCCTACTCATCCTCTAAAAGTCTGCCTAGCCATCACCATCTATGAGATGTCATTAGCTAGTCACTCAGCCAAAGTGGGATACCCCCTTCCAGGAGTGTGATAGTTTTCAGCAGGGTTTGCTAATGGTCTCCAACACTGTGCTGCAAACCCCCCTGAAGGTACTGAGTTTGGTGTGGCTTAATAAAGGATATCCCTAGCGCCTAGGTCCTAGGAAAGTACCGGCATGTGGTATGTAGGTGCTTACTAAGTATCTGTTGAATTAAAAGATAGTGACACCAAAGGCAAGAAGTCTAGGTTCAGATGTGTCACTGTCAAGAATTTCCCATTAATATCTGGAGCTGGGAAAATCGAGCAGGCAGGGTATCTGTGGCACATGATGAGAAGTCTTGGTTGGAGGTAGGTGGGGTGGGGAGGATGTGCGTATTGAATATTCTCCCTTCAGTCCGCTTACTTTGTACTCTGGTCTTAACTCTGACTCTTGCTATGGAAAGCAGAACCTCATTACCTTTGGAAGTTGAAAATTTTGGCTCCCTTTTAACTAGGGGCAAGTAATGTGACCTAGGCTTTGAACTGAGAGCCAGTGATACCAAATAGTGGGCCTCGTGAAAACTCACGGAGGAGAATTTTCAGACAACTCAAAGCCTGTATAACCTACTGATGATTTCTCAGTAGGATTATTTTTGCATACTATGGAAAGTGCAGTCTAGTGAATTTACATTTATCTAAAGAGCCATTCCTTTCTATACTGATGAAGTGTTTTTGGGTTTTTCCAATTTGTAACTATTTATTATTATTTGGAAGATTGATAAAAATCTCCCTAGCTCTAATTTCCCTTGAAATATAATGTGTCTACTCTGATCTGCTCTTTCATGTCCCTGAAGAGTTGTGCTTGTTGTCACAATTCATGTGAAGTTCAGGAGAAAGAATGGGCCATGATTTACTCCATTTGATTGATTCTGATCCTGACTGGTCTTGTGTTTTGTTTTGTATATCTATTTGATGTTTTACTCGTTTGCTGTCGTAAAGCAGCATGTTTATCTGACATTACACATTCACCTGCCTAAGACATAGCAGCATACCCGTGCCCTTCAGACTTTACATCTCACCAGAGCCTTTGTGGACTCAAGTTTTGTTCGATGTGCTCACCTGTTCAACTGCCAATGACATCCCCTTGGCATTTGCCAAATATTGGGCAACACGAATAAATCCTGACTGGAAGCCGATGTGTTCTCCCTGCTACGGTGTATTCAGGCTTTAGGTTTGAGCCCTGTTGACAGTTGAGTGAGCAGTAACTGAGTTAGTGTCTCACTGGTTAGCATACGTCGATAAATTGCATTAAGATATAGGTCTCGAGAGGGATTAAAGATAGGAGCACTAATCTATGGCAAAAGCTGAAGCTGAAATGTAACTGAAAATGCACAAATAGCCGAAGGTAAACTAGATATCCAGGACCCCCACAAGTAAACGATTTTGTGCATCGAAAGATTTCATCCAAAGAGTAAAATGAGAAGCTACAGACTGTGGGCAAACAAATGGCCGTGCCTTATCCGACAAGGGTGTTATCTCTAAACTTTATCGAAAAATTCAACACCTTAACAGCAAAAAGACAAACAACTTGATCAGAAAGTGGGCAGAGACATGAACCGACACTTCACCAATGAAGGCATTCAGGCGGCTGGCAAATGCTTGAGGAGAGACTTGGGATCTTTAGTCATTAGCAAGCTGCAGATCAGAACCACAAGGAGACACCATCTGTCCCAGCAATAACGACACCGATTAAAACTGAAACAACCCCCCCCCCAAATAACAATACTAATGAGATTGTAGGGAGACAGTAACTCTTATACAATTCTGGGGGGACTGTCAAATATTAAAACCAAAAAGGAAAATGGTATGGCTCTTCTTAAATAGAAAGACCATACAAAAAAAAAAAAATGAAAAACCATATAATCCCGCAACCCTATGAGTTGCACTGAGCCATTTGTACTGCTCTATAGACTAATTGGCTGTTTATTTCTTATGTTTTATATATATATTTACACAAATATATATATATCATAAGTGTTCTGATTTTGTTTCTCTAGAGAACCCTGTCTAACACAACAATCATCATAAAAATAATCTATGAGTGCATACATAAGTCAATATGTATGCTCAATGGGTGTGGGAGGATGTACGGGACTACCTTGTGTGCATATATACAGATGGTTGTGGATATTTCTATGTACATAATTGTATGTGCCACATATATATTCATATGTACCAGGGGTCTTCAGAAAGTCCATGGAAAAATCGCATTAAAAGACAATGGAATTTCTCCACAAACTTTGTGAAACCCTTTCATATACTAGAGCACATAAAGTGAACAATTTTGGAAACTTTTTAGGCATCACCAAATGCTTCGTGGGACTGAGCCTTGGGGTCTGAAGACCATAGTCTCAGATCTATTGGAATAATATAGCTCTAAATCCTCATCTAGGGTCTTAAAAAGTTGCAAGTGGCCATGTAAGACACAACTACTCGTCTCGTCCCTTCTCAGGGAAAGTAGAGTGAAGGGAACCCAAGACTCAATATCGTTTCAATGAGAAGAGCCGGGTGGTGCCTGGCTACCACCACTACCCCTCTGTTGAGGCACACAACAGAGGGTGCTGATTAGAATGGGTGAAAAATATAGAACAAGATTACACTTCATAAAAAAGGACCAGACATCCCGGTGTGATAGACAGTGGAGGAACTGCTGTGACTGTCGCCCTAAGACAACTATCTAATATGGACCTGAAGCAACTTCCAGAGGCCACGCCTCAACCACCGAATGGACTGACCTGTGACGTCACCGAGGAGTGATGTGTCCCGTGGAATAATCTGCTATATGAGACCCAAAGGCAGCACTTGCCCACGACAAAGATGAGCAGAAGGGACAGGGGCCGGACAGACAAACGGAAGCATGGGAGCCACGATGGAAATGGGAGAAAGCTGGCATATGGAAGGGGTTACAGCCAATGCCACAGGACCCTTTGTGAAAGGATGACTGAAAAGAAAATTAATTTGCAAGGCAAAATTTCACCAAAAGCACAATGAAATGCTTATTGATTTATCTTTTTAATAAAAGAGCAAAATCTTCAAGACAGAAAACTTACAGTCCCATCTTCTGGCAGACTTTGAGCTGTCTGAATAGAAGCTTTGATGCCACATCTGAGGAGTGGTTTCTTGGTATCACTTAACCTTAAATTAATATCTCAATGTAACTTTAATTTATCATTTATTTTGCAAGTACCTTTCCTCCCCACATCCCTTCTCTTATTTTGGGAGCTGAAAATAATTAAAATTTTCTTTTGAGGTCTACCCGTGTGCTTAGTATCTTTACCTATAAGTTTTAATGACACATAATTCATGTATCATATGATTCAATGACTTAAATATATTAGAGTTGTGTTATCATCACAAAAAACCAATTAAAATTTTTTTTAAATCAATTTCAGAGCCTTTTATTTATTCTTGTGCTCATTGTCCTTAACTCCCCATTTAGTCCCCTCCTCTTCTGCTATAGTCCTAAGAAAAGAATACTCTAGTTGCTATTGCTATACGTTTACCTGTCCTGGATTTCATATAAAGAAAAATCATACAAATAGAAACCTCAGCAACAAGAGTAAAATAAAACTCAGAAAAACCTCTGTCCAAAAGACAGTAGAGAATGATATAAGCTAGAATTTTTAAAAAGGGGAAACAAGTGGTAAAATGTTACGTTTTAACCTAACTCTGTCTGCAGTAGTCTGCTTTCGGTAGCACTCGTCTGAGAACAAGACTGTTCACGTCCCTGGTTAATGGGCCTAGGGAATTCAAGGGAGCCTTAATCAACGTGCAAGTGGAGTTGGGATTTTCACTGTATTCAAAGCCTTCTGCAAATGGGGTGCTCACCATCGCTTATGGTGACCAACCGGTAGAGTGCGGGTCCTCGGGGGCTGCACCCCTTCCACCAACCAGTTCCTGTGGATCAGTCTGGATTTGCTGGTTGCTAGGTCAGCTCCATGATGAACCATGGGGCCCGAGTCACTCGCACTCCAGGCTCTGTAATTTGGCAAATGTTGAGTACCACGCAGAGGAACTAAGAACTCTCTCCCTCTTTCCTCTAGGCTGGAAGCTCCACAAACACTCTGAGGGCCCTGCAAATTGCTTTTGCTGATAAAGAAACACAAGCAATCTACCTTCTGACAGATGGGAGACCTGACCAGGTACTTGTGGCACCGTTGGGGACCGAGAGGGATTCACCAGTACTTTGAAAGTAAATGCTGAAAATGAGTTTTGGGGGCCTTGTCAACTGCCACTGAGAAGCTGCTGAGAGACACCTCACTGGCTTAGGGACCCAGAAATGAAGTGAGCAAATGTGCCGAGGAGTTCCTTTGTCTGCCGACAGCACGGAGGAGAACGGCGTGGCAGAGAGTGCTGTCTGCTTGATGTGACGCCCACCCTGTGAAAGGCGGGGTCGGCCTTGCGCTGAAGGCTGGTTTATATTTTACACAAATAAGAGCGAAAAAATCCTTTTGATTTTTTCCCCTTGGGGACTCTAAATCTAAATATGTCACTGCACAATGTCCTTGGATTTATTCCTAATTTTAACGTACTAGTCATTTACACAAAAGCATTCCTTCCTCATGAAATGTTCTTTGTTTTGTTTAGGCTGGCTGGAAAATATTTGGAAAGTTTTAGAAGAGTCTGTTCATCTTCTTTTGAGTTGGGGGAATAAAAGACTAATTCTGCAGGCATTAAATAGACATAAGGGGCTCCAGGCCAGCACAATGTAAATTAACCTGCAGAATGAATTCGTATCAACTTGTAGGCTTTATTGTAAGGTGTTTGCATGTGCAGACAGATATTTTTAAATATCCTGGGGTTGACTGATCCAGGGCTTACAGAACAAAGCAGACTGAGTTTTATTGCAACATTAGATTTATGAGAGAAAAGTTATGTGCATAGTGAAATTTTACTTTGAATGATTTTCCTGTCAACTTTACTATGCTTTCTATTCAGAAGCAATTTACTGTGTCTGTCTGATGGTCCGTGCATGGTGCCAAGGCTTTAAGCTACTGAGCTGAGTAATGTCTCATTTTGGTCACAGGGAAACTTACACATTTTGGAAGGTGATAGACCATATATAGTTAACTCTGATTCCCTATGAGGAATGGGGTTGCCTGAAGAATGAGATGTGTAGGAGCACAGAGTAATGCATTTTTCTGTGAAAGATGGAGAGAGGAGCAGAGAAGAAATATTTGAACGGTGTCTGGAAAGAAAAGAATGCATTTTCTAAGTAGAGATTAGTGGTATCCTAGGCAGGAGGAATAGACATTCAAAAGTATGTGATGGGGCACACAGAAACAACTGAGGGCAGGGCTGATGATGAAAGTAGAAGGTTAGGCTGGGGTGGATGGGGAAGGTTCATGAAAGCTGCATTGAGAGTGTAGCTTTATTGCAGAGGTGCCAATGCCTGGTAAGCAGTGGACTGCTAACTGCAAAGTCGGTGGTTCAATCCCACTAGCCATTCTGAAAGAGACACATGAGCCCATCTGCTCCAGTAAAGACTTACAGCTTCAGAACCCTAGGGGGTTGCTGTGAGTCAGAATCAACTTGATGGGAGTGGATTTGGTTTTTTGTTTTTAGTTTTAACTGCAGTAGGGAATGGTCTAAGCCTGTGGAACAGCGGAGCTATTCGGGTATCAGCCGGCAGATCTGTGTTTCAGAACTATGCCTCGGTTGTGCTAGGGAGTGACAGGCACTACCACGGATTAGTGTTGTGATCTTGATGAGGGCTAATAGTCAGGGCTCATCCGTGGAGCAGCAGAAAGGAGGAGGGGGTGATATATAGAGACAGGATGATAGACGTCAGCAGGATTCTGTGTCCATTTTCGTGAAAGAGTTGGCGAGAAGAAGGTGGGTGTTAGATTTTGGGGGAAGATATGGGATGGGGAGTCAGATTTGAGAGTCACGTGATCAGGAGGTTTTGGTCTTTTCTGTTTTTCTCTTTGTAATATATTCTTAATGGTTTTTAAATTGCTTATATATAGGCAGTTTAAGAACTATAAAAAGAGGAAAATTGAAATCACTGTAAATCAATGTTACATTCTGTTGGTGGTTTTTTTAAATTAATACGTCATATGCATGGTTGTGAGTCTCCAGAAAATTTTCAGAAACATCTTCATAACATATTCATCACACCCCATTGTATAGATTTACTAGAGCTTCTACATGAAGATATATTCACTTATTTAACTTGTGAACAGCAGAACATTTTCTTTCTTTTTTAAGGCTTTATTTATTTATTTATTATAAAATACTTTTATTGGGGGCTTTTACATCTCTTATCACAATCCATACATTCATCCATTGTGTCAAGCACATTTGTACATATGCTGCCATCATCATTTTCAAAAGAATTTTCTTTCTACTTGAGCCCTTAACATCAGCTCCTCATATTTTCTCTCTCCCTCCCCCTCCCTCATGAACCCTTGATAAGTTATAGATTATTATTTTCATATTTTACATCGTATCCCCCCAGAACCATCCGTCCTGTTCTTTTCATCTCTAAGTTATTTATCCCGCGTATCTTATCTAGATAGACGTGCAGAGATATTAATAGGTGCATAAACCAGGCAAGGCCAAACAAAATAACAAAGGAAGTCAAAACCAACAAAACAATAACAACAACAAACACACAAAAAAACAAAAACAAAATAACAACAACAAGAAGAAAGCCACTGACAAGGATGGAAAAGCCTATAAATAGTTCAAGGTCTGTTTGTTGGCCTTTACGAGTGTTTTCCAGTCGAGTCTGATGGGGTGCCACACACTGTCTCCCGAGTCTATTTTTGTTCTTCCCCGGGGACTTCATCACTTTCCTCCGTTGCTGCTCTGTTGCCTGCCCTTCGTGTTTCACCCCAGTGTGATGGGGTCACATTGTGCATGATTCCCGCACTGTGTCTCCAGGGTTGTCCCCTGTTGTGCTGTAGGTCCGTGAGGGATGTCATGCCTCTCGGTGGAGCCGGCCCTGGCAGAACATGTTCATAGTCCAAATGCCAAAGGTACCCAAGGGAAATAGAGGACAGCCTTCCTGGTAAGGCCGTTCACCAGGTAGGAGGCAGCTAGACGTCACCAATTTCTTGATTTGCCTTTCAGCAATGGTCTATGTTTCTGGAAGGAGAAACACATTTCTTTTCCTTCCATTAAATAAAAATGGCGTTTACTATACCGACAATTCAGAACTTTTATTCATGAAGCAATATGCCTTGGAGATGGAGTCATATCATTTCAGAAAGAGCCTCCGCATTCTTTGTTGGGAGCTGCCTAGTATTACATCACATGACTGCACTATAATGTATTTAGCCAGCTTGGAGAGGGACTCCTAGATTGTTTCCAATCTTGATTTTATTCACAATGCTGCACAAGCACTGTCTTACATCCATACATAACACATACGTACCCATACATACATAATACATGCATAATACATGCATACTTTTGCAGGTGTGTGAGTATCTCTGGAGGGTAACATTTGAGAAGTAGATTTATCCACAGGGATCTATTTTGATCAACCAGGTGCCATCACGTTGCCTTCAAGTCCTTGTGGGTCACGATAGAATTGTGCTCCACAGGGTTCTCGGTGTCTTCTTCTTTGGAAGTCGATTGCAGGGCTTCGGAGTTGCCTATGGGGAGATTCAGATCGCTGATCTGTCAATTAGCTGTTCAGCATGTTCAGTGTTGCACTCCCCAGGGATTCCGCATGCTTGGTGCTGGTGGTGGTTGCCTGCTGTCAAGTCCAGTGTGCAGGGTAGGACTGTTCCACAGGGTTTTCAAGGCTGTAACCTTTCTGAAGCAGATACCCAGATCAGTTTTCCCATGTACCTATGTTTGGCTTCCAATCGCAAAGCTTTTAGCTAGCACTTGAGCGCTTAATAGTCTGTGCTGATAAATACTGCCAAAATGCGCGCCGCCTCCCACAGAGGATGTACTAATAAAGACTCCTGCCAGCAGGGATTGAAAGGCAGTCGGATATACAGTCCTTCTCGGATTCCCAGGGTCGGGAGCCTCCCATAGTAAGTGCACTCGGACAGTTGGTTTCTGTGGGGAAGCTCGTGGTTTTCACCACCTTCTCTGAGGTACTGTGGTCCGCTTCAAGTTTTAGAGTCACGGACATGCATGACAGTGGAAACCACACATGTGAAAATTACCCCCAAAGGTAACTTATAAACTCTTTCTTAGGAATTTTCATGTTAAAAATGTTCATATCTGCCCTTTCTCCAGATGCAGTTGGCTTATTTTCTATCCCTTCAGGTGCTCTCAGAAAAGGAAATGGATATTTGATGCTCACGTTCTATGGCTGTGCTTCTCAATCCCATCTATTCTGTGGTCTCACTGGCTCTGTAGGCCCTGAGTGTGTCAGGCCAATGTTATTGCAAAGTTTCCATAGATATTTTCACCTTGAAAAATACAGAGAAATTCAGCTTTGGATTCAACCACATCAACAAAAATGCAAAAAAAACCCCAAAATTGTTTCCATTGAGTTTATTTCCACTCCTAGTGACCCTACAGGACAGAATAGGCTTGCTCCCTAGCACTTCCAAGGCTGAGATCTGTACAGTAGAAGCACCCTGGTGGCTCCAAGCTGAAGTGCTCAGCTGCTAATCCAAAAGGTCAGTGGTTTGAACCCCCCAGCAGCCTTGTAAAGCTCATATCCTTGGGAACTCTATGAGGCTGTTCTACAATGCCTTATAGGCTTGCTGGGAGCTGAAATCGACTCAGCGGCCGTGGATTTGGTACTTTGGTTTGAAGGTTCAAATCGGGGTTTTAGCTGTGCGGATTCTTCCCAGGGCTTTGAGAGATGAAATGCTGCAGCCATTTCTGTTCGTTTCTGGTGGCTACTGGTCATCCTCGTTCCTTGCCTGCTTACAAATGCCTCGGCCATCATACAGCACCTCGCTTCTTGCCAGGAGGGAGTCTTCTCTTTCTCCATCTCTGATCTCCCCTTTTACAAGGCATGATTCAGGAGAGGTCCTGGGGGGTGTAGTGGGTTTACGTTGGGCTGATTCAGGCAAGGTCAGCGGTTGGAGCCCACCAGTGGCTTCGAAGAAGGACAAGGCTGTATGCTCCAGTAATGGTTTATCCCGGGGAGAGTTCTACTCTGTCCGAGGGTGCCATTATGAGTTGGAACCGACTTGATGGCAGTGGGGAGGAAGTTGGCTTTTTGTGTTATGCAGAGAGAATGAAGACCCACTGTAGTCCAATATAACTTAACGATCAGCTCCGCCAAGAAAATCCTTACGTTCTCTGGGATAGCGGTTAGAACGCCAACATACCTTGGATTGAATTCAAACTGTAACATTAGTCCTTCTGAGTCTTCATTTCTCCAGGTTAAATAGTTCCCATATTCACCTTGCCTATTAAGGCTGCATATTGCTGGGGGGAGGGGGCCAGAAGTGGGGAAGGAAGAGCTCAATGAGGGCTGATACAAGTATAGGGTTTACATTAATATAGAGAAGAAGTCCAGTGGTAAGTAATCTACGTTAAACAACCACTAAAGGATAATGGAAACACACACACGCGCACACACACACACACACACACACACACACACATCTTCCTTTAAGCTTTATGCGCTGCCATCGTGGTATGTGACTCCTACTCACCCTTATAGTACAGGACTGCTGCTCTGCCACTAGGCAGAGTGCGCATGGTCCAGGGAAGGAGAAGAAGAAGGGCGTTAGCCCTCTTTTGCTTCAAGTCTTTGTCTTGTCTGTTGGAGAAGGAGAAAGCCCTCCCCGGGGACTTCTGCCTATATCTCCTTGGCCACAACTGGGTCCAATGGCCACTCTCAGCTGTAAAAAAAGCCTCAAAAACTGAGGCTGTGTTTGTATGTGTGTATGACTACTATTGTTTTGCCTTGCGTTTTTCCAACTTAGCCTAATGGTGCTATGGAAAGAAACAGCGCCCTGGGAGTGAAATTGGAGGAGAGGAATGGGTACTCACTAGACAACTAGCATCTTTTAAAAGCTACCTCACCAGATGGTTGGAAACACTGACTAAAGATTAGGCCCCTTAACAGTGTCAGCCCAGTGGAAAGATCCTAATTAGTGTCTTCCCTTCTCTCTCCTGGGGAGGCAATTGACCATGATGTGTGATGGAAATGGAACTTTGGGAAACCATCTCCACCTGATGGAGCCTGATGGTCAGGATGTTCTTACAGCTTCTGACCCAACATTTTTAAGTGGTCTAAAACCTAGTGCCGTGCTTTCGAATACCAACTCCAAGTTTAGATGCACCTAAAGCTGAGTGACTTGTCTAGCCAAATCGTTCTCTCACCTCCCTTTTCCTATCAGGTTGTCAGCTCTTAGTGGGCAAAGGCCATGGTTATTGATAGTTTACTCTTCTGGCAGTACTTGCTTTTTAAAATTACTATTACTGAATTGAATCCAGCCCTTTACAAGAAACCACTCACCATTGATAAGTTTTACTATTGAGAATTTCAGTAAACAAATACTGAGAGTATTCACATCTTATTTTTTTCCCTTTTCTTAATCTTCTTCCCTTCCCTCAAAACTTGTCTTTTCAGCCACCTGAAGTGATTATAGAGCAAGTCAAAGTTGCTCAGAAAATTCCTGTTTATACTATCTCCTTCAATTACTATGATGAGGTTGCAAATGAGTTTTTGAAAGAGCTTGCTTATTTGACTGGAGGAGAATTCCATTTGTATAATTTTGGTTGCAAGGATCCATATTCTCCAGAGACTATGCAGGTAAGAGCTTGAGGAGCTGAAGAGGAGTAGTCCCTTATTCATTCCAGCCTTCCAGCTTGAAGGCCCACGAGCCATCACTTACTCGGGGCAATAGCACCACAAGGACAGCTAAGAAGAAAGACTAACAGAGCTCCTAACAATTCGTGTACCAGTGTTTCTCAAACTGTAACCCAAGGACACCTGAGCAGGGCATTTGTGATAATGCAGGTCCCTGGGCCCCCCTTCAGAACTACTAAGTCAAATGTTAGGAGGAGGGGCCCAGGAATCTTCACTCCTGTTTTTCCCTTTTCCTAAATTTTTATTACAGAAAGTTTCAAGCATAAACAAAAGTGAGAGCCTCTATTAATCCCATGGCCCCTCATTGAAATTCAACACTCAATATTTCCTCAAACTTCATGAATCTGTATTTTTAACAAGTGACATTTGTTAACCACTGTTGCGAACAGACATTTGTGGGGAGCCCACAGATATTTCAGATGACATGCAGTTGTATTCTCACTTCTCAGACTATATAAACATGTGATGATCTGATACAGAAGTTCATTCTAATGGGAGAAGACGAGATGAAATTTCATCCTCCATCTCTTCTAGTTTTGGTCTGTGGATCTATATATATCGAGAATACCATTCCAGAGAGAGTATTTTATTACCTTAGTGCCTGTACTGAAGACACTATGATTTTATGTCCAGGCCAAGTGGAAAAGCCAGAGTACTGATCAGCATTTCGTGTAAGAAAGTGACCTGAGGCTGGAGAAAGAATTAACTAAAGGATTGTAGGGGAGAGTGTTCTGCTCTCATGTAAAGCTTGGGCTTATTGAATAAAAGGCTATGCTGTGCTGAGTTGTCTAGAGAAGCAAAATCACTGATACTTGTATATGTTTGTATATTGAAAGAGAGTTATATCAAGAAATGGTTTGTGTAATTGTAAAAGTAGGGAAGTCAAACTTCTAATTTACGTAGCTGTGGAAGATGACTAACAGGAAGCAGGTGACAAAGTGGGGGGTGGGGTTGAGGGTGGGTGGAGTAGTGGTGGTGGGACACAGGCTGGTGGATGCAGAGGTAAGTAAATCCATGGTCAGCCTGATGAATCCATCATCAGTAGCCTGCTGATGGCTCCTGGGATTGGCAAGCAACACAACCAGAGATCAAGGAATAAGACACAGGATCCAGCTCCAGCAGAAGACGAAGGGCCAAAGAAAACTCAACTCTTCTGAGTCTCTCTCTCATGCAAAAGGCCACCCCCCTAAGAAAATATCATCAGGTTGTGACCTGATGGATAGATTGGGCTAGACTCTAACCATCACAGACCACCCCTTGTCAACTTGACACCTGTACACAACTCTTTAACCATGCTTAAACTCCAAACAAAGACAGTAATAAAATCAAACCTGTGCCTAACATGATATGGCTAATACACGTACAATCAAAAACACACTAACCCCATTTTCATCTCACATGTTATAAACAAACAAAGCTAAAACATTTGGTGTATACATACAAATAGATATTTCTCATAAGAATTACAGCTCTTGTTTCTGCAGCTGGTCACATGGCCATAGCTGGTATTTAGAACTACCTTCTTCCACTACCCATTCTGATTTCCTTTGCCCTCAGTACATACCTTGGCTGGTCATAGTTCTATGGTGGGGTAACCCAAACCTTCATTTCTGAAGAGTCTAGGCTATTAGTAGTTATGTCAGAATGGGGGTGCTGTCATTTACCTTTACCTTTAATTACAGGACATGGTAGTACTAAGAGACAGCCTAATCTCCTAGATTCCAGACATGTTATTCTCTACTTCCATTATACAATACTAATCCAATTTCTCCTTGGTAATCAGGATCAGTCACATCACTCAATACAGTAATACCCTTCTTTGACTGTTGGTGCAGAGGCATGAGGAGCCCAAAGTGGCCAGGATGCATTCTTAACTTCCAATTCCTTGGAACCAATGCTTGTATGTACAAGATATTTGTGTTTAAAATGAAAAAATTTTTTAATTAAGAAATTGAAGCAGACAAAAAGAATTGAAAGTATATACCATGCTCATGGATTGGATGATTCAACATTGTAAAGATGTCAATTCTCCCCAAATAAATCTAAAAGTTTAATACCATTTCTGTCAAAGTCTCAGAGAGGTAATTAATATACAGGCATACCTACTTTTATTGGGGCTCACTTTAATGTACTTCACAATGTTGTGCTTTTTTACAAATTAAGGGGTTGTGGCAATCTAGAGTCGAACAAGTCTGTCTGCCTCATTTTTCCAATAGCATGTGCTCATTTCTTGTCTCTGTTTCATATTTGGATGATTCTCAGTAGTTCAGATGTTTTCATTATGTTATTACCTTTATATGCACTAGGAAACGAAAAAAATGTGGCAACTTTTATTGTGACATTCACTTTCCTGTAGAGGCTTGAACCAAACCAGCAGAACCTCCAATGTATGCCATTGGTAGACAGGCTTCCTCTAAAGATATAGTTTAGAATGGGCTCTGGAACAAACTCAATTATCTCATCAAAAAGACAATACAATGAGAGGAATTAGCTTACCCGACATCAAAGTTTATTATTTAACTATATAACTCAAACTGTGTAGTATTGACACAGAGATAGGAACAGTAGGACATTCTTAGGTAAATAAATAAACCTTAATGTAAGCTTCTAAATTACCCCCAAATGGATCATAGACTCAAATGAAAAGAATATAAAACCGCAAGGAAAAAACATGGGAGAAAATTTGAAAGATCTAGGCTTTGATAAGCATTCTTAAACTTGGCATTAGAAGCACAATCCACAAAAGGAAAATTTGATACATTGAATTTGATTAAATTTTAAATTTTCTGTGAGAGATTATATGAAAAGAATGAAAAGACATGCTGCACACAGGGAGAAGGTATTTGTAAAGCACGTATTCCACAAAGACTAGGCTCTAGAGCAGCGGTTCTCAACATGTGGGTCGCCACCCCTTTGGAGGTTGAATGACCCTTTCACAGGGATCGCCTAGTGTATCCTGCATATCAGATATTTACATTACGATTCATAACAGTAACAAAATTATAGTTATGAAGTAGCAATGAAAATAATTTCATGAGAAAAAAAAGAAAATAATTTCATGGTTGGAGGGTCACAACATGAAGACCTGTATTAAAGGGTTGTGGCTTTAGGAAGGTTGAGAACCCCTGCTCTAGAGTATATGAAGAACTCTCAAAACTGAATAATAAAAAGAGAGCTAAACCATCCAATCAGAAAATAGGTTAAAATCCTGACTAGTCATCTCACCAAAGAAGATACTTATTCACTTGACAAATGAGCATGTGAAAAGATGATCAAGATTACTGTTATTGGGGAAATGTAAATTAGAACTACCACGAAATGTCATTGAGAAGGATGGATAAAATCAAATGTAGTGATAACACCAAGTTCTGGTAAAAACAAAGAAACTGGATCAATTATACATATTTGGATGAAATTTACAACAGCATAGCTATTCTAAAAATCAGCCTTTTCTTTCTTGGAATTGACCTGAGAAAATAAAGACTTAAGTTTACCTGTGTAAAAATCTGTACACAAATAATCCTAGCTGCTTTATTTGTAATTACAAATAACTGGAAACAATTCAGGTGTCTTCAAATAGTTGGTCAAGCCCACTATTGCGCATCCCTGTCATGGAATACCACTTAGCAATAACGGAGAACAGACTGTTGGAAGGTGCAGCAACTTGGATGAGTCTCTAGAAAATGAACAAATGCCAACCCCTAAGGGCTCCATACTGTATGATTCCATTTATCTAACATTTAGTGGTTGTCACATGCTGTGAAAGAAGTTGGTAGGAGGGAGGTGGTGTGACAATCTGTGTCTTAAGTGTGGTGATACAACTGAATACAGACATGTTTCCATGCTATACTGTGGGGCAGAACCAACTTGATGGTGCCTGACAACAACAGCAACAAAAACACGAGCACGTGCGCTGTGAGTAGACGGAAATGAGGACATCTGAATAGGATCGGTTTATATCATTTATACCAATGCCAGTCTCCTGCTATTGCTATATTATTGTGTTATGCTATTATGGTTGGTTTATGAGGCCTTTTATCATTGGAGAACACTGACGGGACAGCATATGAGATTTCTCAGTATCATTTCTGATAACTGCTTGTGAATCTACTGTTACCTGAAAACCAGTTCAGTGTTTTAAAAGATAAATGACTGATAAACCAATAATAACGATAGGTGTGGCTTCTAAGATTAAGTGAATAAATCACTCAAAAGGCACAAATCTGTAAAGCTCACCCAACAAGAAAATAATATTCCAAATGGACCTACAGGACGGGACTTCAAAAAGTTTGTGGAAAAATGGAATTAAAAGATAACGGAATTTCCCCACGAACTGTTTGAAGCCTTCCTGTATCTATTAAAGAAATTTAATCGGTGATAGGGTTTTGGACCAGTTCTTGCCAGTTCAGTCATAGCGGAAGTAGCTGAACTAGGAATAGCCATAATTTATGAACTATTGTTGTTTTTAGGTGGCGGCCAGTCAGTTCAGCCCCTAGCAAGCCTGTGAACAACAGAACGCCCCGCCACCCAGTCCTGCACCGGCGTCACCATATTTCTTCTGTTTGAGCCCATTGTTGCAGCCACTGTGTCCGTCCCTCGTATCCAGGGTCTCCTCTTTCTCTGCCTTTCCACTTCACCCAGCATAGTGTCCCTTTTCAGGGACTGGCCTCGTCTGATCACTTGTCGAAAGTATGTGGGACAATGTCTCACCATCTTTGCTTCTAAGGAGAACAAAAACAAATTTGTTACTTAAAAAAAATAGATAAGATATAAAAATCACAATCCATAAGATAATTATGAGATGGGTTTCACTAAATTAAAAAATTTCTCTTCAAAAGGTGCTACTCAAAGTATGAAAAGACAAGTTGTATACTGGGGGAGATATTTTCAAAGAGTTTGTCTAATAAAGGACTTGTATCCGGAATATATAAAGCTTTCCCACATTCAACAATAAGAAAACTAAATAATTGGCAAAAGATTTGAGCAAACAACATTAAAGACATATATACATGGCAAGTAGAAAAAGCGTTGTAACGATCTTAGTCATTAGGGAAATTCATATTAAAGCCACAAGGTAACGCTATATTCATATTCACCATTTGTGTGAGTTTATTCCTTCTTGGGTTTCTTCCTTGTTGGCCTATTCTCCATAGAGTTTTCAATGGTTGAGTTTTGGAAGTAGACCCCCAGGTTTTTCTTCCAAGGTGCCTCTAAGTGGACTTGAATCTCTACCTTTTGGGCTAGTGGCCAAGTCCATTAACCATTCAAATCACCAGAAACTCCTATGCCAATTCATGTGGTTAGAATGTAAAACATTGACCGTACGACGTTAGGCTAAGTTCTCTAGAGAAGCAGACCCCGTGAGGCTTGTACCTGTACAGAGTGGATGACTCACGTTCCACTGGCAGAAGAAAGCACTTTCCAAGGATGGGCAAATGGCACGTTGCGAAGTCAGAGGATAGGCTGGAAGTTTCTCCTGACTTGCACAGCTATGGGGGCTGATGAACAGGAAGTCAACTGGCTTGTAGTGTCAGGGGTGAATGAATCCAAGATGGCAGTTAAGATGACAGGCCACCAGGATCATCAAGCAATACAGCAGACTATTGGCTAAAAGTCTAAAGAACTAGAGGTCTGAATGTAATGAACCAGGTACAGGATCCAGACCCAACATAAAGCAAGCAAGCTTTGCTACTTATTTTATCCCTTCGAAGAGTTCTCACTGGGTTTCAAGTGCCAAACCACTGATAACTCTTCCCTGAGCCAAGATGACACAAAGCTTAGCTGTTATGCCATACTAGGTTTTTAAACAATATGGAGAACCTGAAATGTTCCTACACTTCTGGTAGAAATATAGATTCATACATTTGTTTTTGGAAAACAGTTTGGTATTTTTATGAAAAGTTAAAGTCACCATGCACATGAGAAATGATTCTATTCCTAGAAATGAAAGTAAACCTCCATCTAAATAATTGTTCACAAATTTCCATCGCTTTACTTAAAATAACCCTAATCTTTCCTCATATAGCTATATCTGATGAAAATGATGAATAGTTTATTATCTTGGTTGTAATGATGATTCCCCAGGTACAAAATGTCAAAATATTTAGATGGTGGTATGCTTCATATTAATTGCTCATATGCAAATTTAGGTTGAAGCCAAAGAAAATTAAAACAAGCCATGACAGCCAAAATATGACCTAGAGTACAGTCCACCTGAATTTAGAGACCATCTCAGGAGCATGTCTGATGTGCTGACCACTAATGACCAAGGACCAGAGGAGCTGCGGACCGACCTCACGAGCATCAGACATGAAGAAAGCAAAAGGTCATTCCAAAGACAGGAAAGACATCGAAGGGCAACATCTGCATCAGAACCGACTCTGAAACTTGCCTTTGAACATAAAGTAGTTAAAACAAATGAAAAGAATGATGAAATGAAAGAACCGAACGGAGATTTCAAAAGACAGCTTAAGAAGACAAAATAAAATATGATAGCACATGCAGTGGGATTAGAAAACTAAAAGGGGAGAGCAAGCTTAGCATTTCTCAAGCTAAAATAACTGAAGACAATTTTAAGCCTCAAGATGCAGTATCGAAGGATTCCATGGGCAAAATGGATCCTGTGGCAAAGGGCTTAGGCTACTAACAGAAAGGAAGTTCAAATCCACCAGCCACGCCCCAGGAGAGAGATGAGAGTGTCTGTCCCAGTAAAGATGAACAGTCTCAGACACCCAAAGGAACAGTTCTTCTCTGTCCTTAAACATTGCTATTAGTTGGAATCAACTAAATGGTGGGGGTTTGGTTTTGATTAAATGGGCAAAATATGAAACAATTCAGGACGCATCACAAGGAGATGCAAAGAGCACAGAGTTGAGTCACTGTACCAATACGTGAACTGGTCAACATTCAACCATTTCATGGTAACCTATGATCACGAACCAATGGTATTAAAGGAAGAAGTCCAACCTGCACTGAAGACACTGGTGAAAACGAGGCTCCAGGAATTGACAGAACCCCAACTGAAATGCTTCAACAAATGAATGACACCCTGGAGGTGCTCACTCTAAGCCAAAAATTCCAGACGACCAACTGGAAGAGATCCTTATGTGTGCCCATTCCAAAAAAAAAAAAAGAACAACCAACAGAATGCAGACAATTATTAAACAATCATTGATATCACATGCAAGTAAAATTTTGCTGAAGATAATTAAAAAATGTTTGCAGCAGTATCTGGACAGGGAGCTGCCAGAGGTTCAGGCCAGATTCAGAAGAGGACATGGAACAAGGGACACATTGCTGGCATCAAGTGTATTGTGGCTTAAGGCAGTAAATATCAGAAAGATGTTTGTATTTTATTGACTATGCAATGCATTCAACTGTGTGGATCATCAGCTGTGGATAACACAGCACAGAATGAGAAGTCAGCAGCACTGTGCTTGTGTAGAACCTGTACATAGACTAAGAGGCAGTTGTTGAAACAGAAAAGGAGATAGGGTGTAAAATCAGGAACATTTTATATCCTTTCAACACAATCAGCTTGCACGTTGAGAAGATAATCAGAGACGGTGAACCGTATAAAGAAGAATTTGGCACAGGACTGGAGGAAGTCTCATTAGTAGCTTGAAATATGAAGCTCACAACCTTGCTCACTGAAAGCAAAGAACTTGAGACACTGAAAAGATCAAAGACTATAGCCTGTAGTATGGATTACACCACAACACGAAGAAAACCAAAATCCTCACGACTAGACCAACAGCAACATTGTGATAATCAGGAAAAACCATAGTTGTTAAGGATTTCATTTTACTTGGTTCTACGATCAATGCTCATGGAAGTTGTAACCAAAAAAGCAAATGACCTAGTGCACTGGGCAAATCTGCTGCACAAAATCTTTTTAAAGTATTGAGGAGCAAGGATGCCGCCTTGAATATTGAGGTGCTGCCTGACCCAAGCCATGATACTTTCAATGGTCTCCTATGCATGTAAAAGTCGGACAAGGAGGAAGGCAGACAGCAAAAGAGTGGGTGCTTTTGAGTGAAGGACTTGGAGAAGATGCCTTGACTGTGAGAAGAGCAGCTACACCTCAAAGAAACTACAACCTGAGTGAGGCTGCTCCTTAGAACTGACAATGACAGAGGACGAGATTCCGTCTTATGTAGTCTGGACATGTTACCGGAAGGACCGATCCTAGAGAAGGACATCATGCTTGGTAAAGTAGAGGATCCTTAAAAAACAAACAAACGAAGACCCTTAGCGAGATACACTGCCGCAGTGGTGCAGCAATGGACTCGGAGATGACCATGGTGGTGAGCATGGCCCAGGACCAGGCAGTCATCTGCTCTGTTCAGTGCAGGTTCTCTCTGAGCTGGAATTGGCTCCAGGGCTCAGAAGAACAACAAATACTTTACATATGTTCAATGTGTTGTACGTAGATTCTACATCAGGCTATTTAAAGGAACCACATGTAATAGTGAAAAACACACGAATCCTTTAGGTTTTGTTCTTCACCTGACTTTACAGGTGACTTTGTGTAAGAAATGTGTGCAATTCAAACTCTTCTGGGTGCTCTTCCTCATGGTTCATTTCTCCTTTGCGCAGAATGAAGATCTGACTCTCTTAATGAGGGAAATGGAGCAGGGGAGACGTGACCTGGAGAAAATGCAAGACCTTTATTCGGAATCATTGATCATAGACTGGTGGTACAATGGAGAAAAGGAGGGGGACAATAAGTGAGTGTGCCGTGCCACCCCTCGCTCCTGATGGGGGCCTCTCTGATGCTCTGCTCGCTTTCCTAGACATTCTGTGAAATTGAGTTTAGTGGCAGGAGTCATACAGTAGGATGAAGGTTGGATTTTTAGGCAGGTAAGTCATGAGATAATCATTTAATAGTGGGCGCAGTCACAGCTGAGGGAGCTTCGACAAGTTTGTGGACAATGACATTGTTTTTGCTTGTGTCTTCCCAAGAACGTTTAGAAGCTCCTTTGTATTTACCTTCGGATGCGAGTCCTAAGCCTCGCAGCACGTGCGAGAGCAGGCTCTTGTTTTGTCGCCGTCCATCGTGGACAGCCCAGGGTGGCTCGACGGCACAGGCGTGCTGAGTCATGGAAGGGCTTTGGCTCTGGGATCGGTAAAGGACAAACTGTGGACTTCCACCCGGATGGTCTTGGTGACTCCTTAACTGGTCCACAAGCCTTTCCATTTGTCTGAGTCTGTTTCTCGTCTTTAGAAGGGTAGCCGTGGGGGTAGGGCTGGGGTGGGTGACAGGTCTTTTCCACTCTGTTGCTGCTAGTCACTTCTGTCCCTCGGTCACCTCCTGTGTACAATGCTGGAGAGATTTCAAGGCTGTGGTCTTTCGGAATCACTTCACCAGAACTGTCTTCCTCTAGATGGGGTTGAATTGCCCATGTGGGGGCTAGTAGTTGAACATTTTAGCCATGTCTACCACTCCAGGACTCCTTTCATCTTTCTATATGCTAATATATCTCTCATTGGTAGTTTTTAAACAAAATTCCAAAGTACGCTTAGCATTTGGGAAAAGGGCATCAGATCTCATTACAATGACTTAACAATGATTCAAGTCTCAAAAGTCACAAATGATATGTCAGGAGAAATGCAGTAGGACCCCTGGGACGCACAGGTGAATGTAAGCCCTGGTCCTTTCCCGCGTGGAATGCTCCGGTGGCAGGGGGTGCAGACACACAGAGGACTGTGGGGCGCCAAGGTGGATGTGCGTGATGAAGCAGCGTTATCAGTGGATGAGGGTAGGGCACGAAAGAGGTCAGGTGTGGCCTTGAGGAAATACAGTTTTCCTGAACCTCAGCTGAACTTCCTCCTGCTCAGTGGCATGTGCAGTCCTATCTCATGACTCCTTCCTTCTGTGAAACTGCGTGTGCAGTGGCTATTCCTCCATTATTCCTGGGAGCTTTTGGCATTTACGGTGACATGGCTGAAGAGGGTTCTTCTGCAAACTCTCCTTTCTGTGGTTGCTGTTTTCAGAGACGTCATGTCTGGGGAAACACTCAGGCATTTCTGGCGCCCCTCCTGGCCCCAGACCCTCTCTAAAGCAGTCTGCAGCCACGAGGTGCTGGTAGAGGGAAGTCCATGCAGGCACTTCCCTTCTCTAGCTCTTGTAAGAGTTTGCTCGTCCACCCTTTCCTTAGAGAAATGGGTTCTGATAGAGCCTTCTGGTTTACATCCCATGATCCTGGTGCTAATGTTCAGGGAAGCCCCATGAAGCACATGCACAGGTAATGTTTCCAGAGTCATGGATGAAGAAAGTAAAAAACTTTAGAGGAGTTTCAGCAACATCACTAAGGTCACACCACCACAAGGGAACCAAACTGTGATACGATGCCTCTTTGGTCGATTTCCTTGTCTCTGCTTCTGCCACTGCCTGGGACTCTGAAAATGGCTAGGCTTTTATAAGCCCAAGGAGCTCTGGTGGCATAGCTGGTTACACATTGAGCTGGGAATCGCAGGGTCAGAAGTTTGAATCTAACAGCTGCTCTGTGAAAGAAAGATGATACTTTCAGTTCCTGTAGATTTAAAGTCTTAGAAATTCTAATGGGCAGTTCTACCCTGTCCTGTATGGTCACTATGAGTCAGGACCGATGTGATGGCAGCAAGTTTTGTTTAGTTTTTTATTAGGTGAGCCCAAACTGGGAAAGGCTCACTTCTTCGAGTTTACAATATTAAATATGGTTCTTTTGATATACATCTGCTCCCCCCCCCTTGTCTACTTTTTATTTAAATACAGCAAGCACCGAAAGGAAATCTGTTCAATGGTTTCAGCTTCTGCAAAACCTCAACCTGATGTCGAATCACCCAGAACCTCACCCCCGTCCATGTCCAAAGCACAATGGTGCCTTTCAAATCCAAGGATTCTGAGAAAGAGAGTCCTCCATGCAGGTATCAGTGGACACAATGGCTTAAATCTTGTTAGCTGTTTCCTTCCACGTGAGACAGGCAGCTCCTAAGTTACAAGCACACAACTTGTAATGACAGACCATTCGTCATAAAGCCTGTTCAAAATGGGAGGTACATATAATGGTTGGTAATAACAAGCAGACACCACTTTGTGATGCATATCTAAACATTATCATTAACGTATTATTCTGTTAAAGATGTCTTAATGTATATGGAATTGTCTCTGGCTCTACACTATATACTAAGCCAAACATTTGAGGAACTGATTTTAGATACAAATGCACAGGTTTCAATTTATGTCCAAATTCAACCTACAGACAGATTTAGGAACTGAATGGGTCTATATTCGGGGGCCCCTCTGTTATCTAAGAAGCCTTAACCCAGTGTAGGGGAGCCTTGGTGGTATAGTGGCTATGAGTTGGTCTGCTAACTGCAAGGTCCAGAGTTCAAAACCACCAGCCTCTCTGAGGGAAGAAGATGAATCATTCTGCTCTTTAATGATTTACAGTCTCAGAAGCTGTCTAGGATGACTGAGTTGGAATCAACACAACGACAGTGCGAGCAGGTTTTAAGTCTCTAAGAATTTATCATCGCAGTAGAGAACTAACCCTAAATAGCTTACAGACTCCATGTCGTGGGCATTTTCACCTCACCAGTAGGGTTGGGAGAGTTTAGAAACCTCAAGTCTAAATGTCACACAGTGCCGTTCTTCTCCCACCAAGAGATTTAAATGGCAGCCCTGCTTCTGGTCCTTGTCAAAGAGTGGAAATGAGTGGACAAATTCTCTTTTCCATTCTGTCATCCTAGTCAGGCCCCATCTCCACGTCTCCTTTGGGCAAACCCTCATGGGACAGACTGATACCAGGTATTTTTAGAGCTACCCAGGGATTCAGTAAGAGGGACCTGGATGGAGACCTGCCAGGTAGCAAGGAAGAGTCTGATGAAGGTTCTCAAAGTGGGCAATGTTAGGTGAGACCGTTCTACACAGGACATTAGTAAAGAATACCTAGCTCCGAGCTGAGAAGAAAAAGGTAGTTAAGTAGAATCACAGAGAAAAAGCTGGATTGAAATTTAGCCTGGTGGTCATGCCAAGAAAAGCCGAAGGGTAAAGTCACAGGTAGCCGGTTGCGTGGGACCGGCCGACCCTGGTCAGGCTGACGCAATCACAGGAATCTTGGATGGCAGTTGGACAAGATTGATCCATTCAAGTGTCTTTGCAGCGCAGGAGGAGGGAAGGGAGGGAGGTACATGTTTCCATTCAAGTGTCTTTGCAGCGTGGAAGGGGGCAAGGAAGGGAGGTATATGCCAAGTCATTGTCTCCCAATAGTTGGGTTTTTTGTAAACCAGAGTTTTGTTTTGTTTTGCTTTGGGCATTATCTGATGAGGCGCGTACACCTGGGTGTTTTAATGACATGAAGTCATATAGCTTGAACTTGGCCTAACTTGTTTTGAGTCTACACATTGTTTATGATACAGAAGAACATGTGCATTATTTTGAAATTTGAAATTCTATCCATGCCTGCCACCAAGAGGGCCAGAGCTTAACCTCTGATACAGAGAGGAAGTCATTACTTCAGCAATCCACCAAACGAGGGACATAAAAGCTGTGGTCCTCATTGAAGGCTCTGGGGGAACAGTTGGCGCTAACAGAGCATCTTCTTCCATCTTTAACCCCTTTCCCTGTGATGCCACCAGAACCTACCAAAACCAGCCTGCTCAGAAGCCAGATGTCCACCCTCAAGAGCTCCACCTGCAATGAAAGGAAGGATGTCCACTCCTATGGCAACAACTGGAGCGTCGCCTCCAGTGACCAGAGAAAGCCCAGAGAGGGTTTGTATCTCAGGAAGCCAGGCCGGATCTCTCTCTGTCCAGTGCCTCTGCTCTGAAAGAGCTGGGTCTCTATTTACATTCGTGGGGACACAATCATAGCTTCCAGGGGCCAGATAATTGTCCCATGTGAAGGAATCCTTGCCTGTCAAGTCTGCCTGCTTTAGTGGACGGGCTTTCCTCAGTGCCAGCAGCACTTAGACCCGTTCTGCGCAGGGGTTAAGTATACTTGGACCCTGGGCTCACACTTGAGACGCCTGGCACTGCATCCTGCCACTCCGGGGTCTGAATGTGCAACTTTGATCCTTCACAGTTGTCTTGCTTTCCTTCATTCGTAGTGTACCATCTGATAAGCCCTCTCCGTCCAAATTGTCAGCCTTTAGGGGGTTAAGTGTGAGGATAAGGCAACTTCCATTCTATTATTTTCATTATTACTGATCAAATTATGGTTCTTAAAAGAATAAATCATGTAGTTTAATTATGGTCGTAGTTTCCCCTAACTTTGAACAGTTTAGAAATAAAGCTCAGCTAAAACACGCATGCGTACAGTCCCCTCAGTAGCAGGGAGCACTAGAGAGACACGCTCTGGTGTTGCTACTCAGTCATAACTTAACCAAACTCTGCTCGCTTTCTTCCGTGCTGACCCTAGTGGCTGCTTTATTGGTTGTTGTTTTTTAACCCCCTCAGGCACAGTTAACCTCGTTAGCTATTTCCCACGTGCAATCCGTGCCCAGCCTTTAAAGGATCCGTCATGTGATGATCAGGATGCGATTTCGTAGGGATTTGATGACTCACTCTCACACCTCTCTCTCTAGGTGCAGATGATTCAACTCGGCAATCTTTCTTTCCATTTGTGAATCCAAGTTCAGATCAGGATATTCACTTCAACCCCCCAGTATTAATTTAAAATATTTGAACCTACAACAAGACAGAATCTGATAATGTTTTGGGTTTTCTATATAGAGCTGAGAGAACCCCAAAACCAATTCACATAAAATAAAATGTGGAACAAGGCATTCCTGCCTAATTTGAGGGAATCCAATGATATCAAGACTGTCCAAGCATTAGTTACTGGTATTCTTATTTATTTTTTAGCTTTAAATCTGTACTGATCTATGAATAAAAACACAAGCTACTTCTGACGGACCATGAGGGCTTTATATACTATAAGTAGCCTTCTGTGAATATCCTTTTCCTTTCCTGTGAATCAGGTGAAGGTTTACTGAACACATCAGTTTTCCATTCAACAATTCATACAGAGTTTGTTCCATCTCGATGATTGTAGTTTCCACAATGTAGCATCGTCTCTCCCATATCTTCCCTGTGTTTCCTGTTTCCTTTCCACCTTTCCTGACCCTTCTGAACTTTATCCCGGTAAAAGGCTGCAGTGTTTATCAGCTGATTATTCTAAGATGTGTGTGTTTAGAGTGAGTGCTCCTTTGGTAGACCTGTCTATTGTATGGCTGAGAATTGAGCCACAAGGGGCGAGTTTACCACCACTCTCTATCTGCCCAATAAGGCTGCTCTCTTTTATGATTTTGAGTTTTGTTCCACATTTTTTCTCTCATTGTTTTTATGACCTGTTTATGGGATCCCTTTCAGAGCAGTTGGTAGTGACAGCTGGGCAGTTAGTCTGTATTTCCTGGAGAACAAAAGGATGAGTACGTATTTTCTTCCATGAAGAGAGAACCAATGAATGTGGGAGAGGTAGATAAGAAAAAACACAGGGTTTTTTGTTTAAGACACTGAATTTTTGCACTGTGATCTTTAGTGTCAGAACCTAGTCTGACAGGCCAAGTTGTGTTCTCTGAAATGTGGTCCATTTTTTAACCTACAGACATGATAGAACTCAGAGGCAAACCTGATCCTTTTGAATTTTTATATAAGCACCACATAGGAGGAAATTATACAAATTCCATTTCTCCTTCACAGAAATGAGGTTCCGCCTGCTGACAGAAGAACATCTAGGTGACAAATCATTGGAAAGATCAACTAGAGAAGGAAGCCAAATTTATGATCAAGAGTGAGTGTTTTCATTTTATTAGGACAGTTTTGTTATGATTTTTGTTTGTTATTCCTTGAGTTATAATTTTAAAGCATTACAGTCTTATTTTCTTAGTTATTTAGATATCTCTTCCGAAAATTGGCTCAAGACTCACAGCTTGGTTGCCCAAAAACTCACCATCATGGATGCCTTGTCAGCGACAGCAGTCCCCCACAACCCCACCTACGTTCCAGTTCTGGATAAACACGTTGTTTCCAAGGTCTTTGATGAGGTAAAGCTGATTGTTTATATGCTGCTGCTTGAGAACTGTTTCATCCTCTGATCACATAAAAAGCAATCCACTTCAAGTTTATATAAGGTTAAACAGAAATGTATTTCAGTCATTAAAAAATACGTATATATTTAGTAAGTCAGTGAAAAGAGACTCATAAGCATTTGTTAACCTGAAATAAAACTGGTCTTTGTTAGATTGTCAGCTCATGATTCATTGCCAATGTGGGGCAGTATGGAACTGCAAATCCCAAGCTAAACCAAACCCATTGTCATTGACTAGACACCAACTCATAATTTCTGAAGCTGTAAATCTTTACAGGAGCAGATAGCCTCAGTTTTCTCCCACAGAGCAGCGGTTGGGTTTGAACCATTGACCTTGTAGTTGGCAGTCCTATGTTTCCCCAATAGAGCCACTAGGGCTCATTACGAGGAGCTGCAAAGGTAGGTGAAAAATGTCTAGGTCTGAGTCACGATGTACATCAGCCGGTATCAAAGGACTAGTGAACTTGTGAAAGGCTATTTTCTTCTTCACTCGTCTACCTTCTCTTCCAAACTGGAGTGGCATATTTTTCCATTACGTAAGTTTTCGAAGTCAGAGAGAGACAGGAGAGTGAAAATCATCAGGGAATCAGGTCCTAAGATGAGAAAAGATGCTTTCAGTAGGAAGGCATGCTAAGACTGAATGTTGAAGGTGGTTAAATAAGTACCAAAAAGTTTCCATTGCGTTTTTCAATTAGGAAGTCTGTGTCCTTAGCAAGAACAATTCTGATGAAGCGGACAGATTTCAATGGGGTGAAGAATATGAAAAAAGAGAGAGAGAATGAAAATTGAACCCTGATGCTTCCTGGCAAATATAACAGCAACTAGGCATTTACATCCGTCTTCACGGTTGCTAAATGGAAAATATATCATTAGATGATGATATATTATTTCATACAGACATAGAGAAAAAGATTATAGAATGCTTGGTATTTCCTTCAAAATAATATGGGCCGTGGGAGTGAGGAGGGTGCAGATGAAACACAATTGACCAGGGGTTGATAATCGCTAAAATTCTACAATAAGAACTTACTGTTCTGTACTGTTTTAAAATATGTTTGAAATTTTCCATAATAAACAGTTGAAAATAATTGAAGGTAGGAAAACTTAAAAAACAAAGACAGCTTTGATTGCTATGTTTTGTAGTGCTAAGATTTTATTGAAAGAAGTGAACGAATTGATGAACATTAGATTTCCTGTTAGTCATATATTTTAACCCCTCCCCCCCCACACACACACACAAAATTAAAACCCATGTACTTCCTGGTTTGCTATGACTAGTGATTCTGGCTCTGAAAGTTGACTGTGCATATGCTATCATGTGGGCTGGGTTCCTACCTCGGTCTTATCCTTGGGTGTGACAGTTGTGATAGGTAGTCATGATCGACATACACCTCAGTAAACTATAAACTGATTAGTCAGATAGTAGCTTAATATTTGAATTTGATTATTTTCTGTAAACAATGGAGAAAATCAAAGCTGGTTTATCTACTCTAAGAAGTTCAGTGAGAGCTTATTATATTCCCTTAATCTATTACTATTTTGGAATAATATAAATTTAGGGTCATTTTTATGAAAATAGTGAACTTTCCCTGGAAATAGATTTTTGTGTGTGTTTATTATGTCTCTTTTTAAAGCTCCAACTACCTGAGCTGCATTAGAGATTAAATGTTAGAAATATGTGAGAGTAGAAGAGCGTAAGCATAACATTGGAGGGGGGGAAGACCATACAGGAAAGGTTTATAGACTGGATTTATACCAATGTTATCTTTTACTTAAGGAGGCACAGAGTTTATACTAATGGTGGTAGAATAACTCAGAAAAAAATAGTTGTCATGGTTGTACTACATGAAGAATATATTTACTGTCACTGATTATACACAAATTGAATGGGTAAATGTCTTATTATGTATATTTGTGTCATAATTTTAAGATGCTATTTTCAAAAATATAAGTAAGATTAATGAAGCGATCAGAAAAACATTTGTAGTATATATGATAGTGGGTCAGAGGAGCAAGAACTTACACGAAGGGGCACCCCCAAAACATAATTGCTCTGGACAGAGGGGAGCTTGCATGGTACACATTTTCCCTGTAGGCGAGCATCAAGCAACTTGCTCTGAGTGAGTGCACCAGTGGCATCACCTGGGAAGGTTCTTTCTGGTCACAGTGAATTTTTTTATAAAAGCAGTTTCATTTGAACATCATTTTTTGTGATGGCCAATTTAAGAGAACAGTGTGCCGCTGTGAAATTTTGTTTCCTGCTCAGGAAAAATTATGCAGAAACTATCGGGACATTGAACACAGCTTACAAGGACAACACTATGGGAAAAACTCAAGCCGAAGAGATGTTTTCTCATTTCAACAAAGGTGAAATGTCGATGAATGACAAACTTTATTCTGATGTCTGTCAATTCCCTAACAGAAGAAAATGTTGACTCATAGTACATTTGGAGTTCATCCCCCCAGGTCAGACTGTTAATCAAGGTTCTGAAAAGATTGCATAACAGTGTGCCACACACACAAAAAGGCCTGAGTTGTGGCAGACGGGGGACTGGTGTTGCCACCATAATAAGGCATCTGCTCATGCAGCCATCTCAGTGCACCAGTTTTTGGCAAAAAAACAGCATCCTTGCCCCATAATCCTTAATCACCTGACCTCACTCCACGCTACTTCTTTTTGTTTCTGCGAATGAAGAGGGACATGAAAAGACAGCGATTTGATGACATAGAAGAAAAAAAAGATGAGGGAGGTGCTGTCAGCCATCCAAACAGATGAATTTGAAAAATGTTTCTAAAAATGGAATCACAGATTTGACAAATGTATTCAATGTAATGGAGAGTACTCCGAAGGTGATAGGTTGTTCTTTTTAAAAAATTAAATATCTATCTTTGAAAAAAAGTTCCATTTGGTGGCTACCCTCTCGTATATGTATTTTTGTTCATATCAGTCTGTGTGTATAAACCATTGTTCAGTACATACACATACCCATATGCTCCTTATAAAAGGAGTAAGAAAATGATAAATACATCAAAATATTCTAAATTATATGCAAAAATGTAACCAGTAACCAAATATATGCATTTAGGAAAAATGCGAATTGAAAACTGTTAGACTCATCCCCTCAATCAAATTGGCAAAGGTTAAAACATACGAATAAGCAATAATGGCAACTATAACATGAATTAGGAATGTCAATTTAGTATCATTTTCACGAAAACTGTGAGCTCTCCTTGAAATAGGTTTTTGTGTGTGATACCTCCTTCTAAATCTTCAAACTACCTGAGATGTTTGAAAATCAAACATACATCCAGCTGCAAGGAGTCCTTGGGCCCGTATATACAACAGAATGAAACTCAGCGCCGTCCTGGGCCATTCGAACAATTGTTGTTACAGTTGAGCCCCTTGTTGCAGTCCCTGTGTCTGTCCATCTTGTTGAAGATCTTCATTTCTTTTGCCGTTTCTCTACTTTCCCAAGCATGATGTCCTTTTCCAGGGACCGGTCTCTCCTGATAGCGTGCTCTAAATACAAGAGACAACGTCTCATCATCAGGTTCAAAGGGGCATTCTAGCTGTTCTTCTGAGACAGGTCTGTTTGTTCTCTTAACAGCCCATGG